AAGACAACGGAATGTTTTCAGTCTTTTTGTAATTTTCAGGAGGCTTTTCATTTGTTATTAAATGTATTCAAAGTTTACAGGCATGAACTTTTATACTATGTTATTTACTTAAAACTGCATATAAGGTTGAAGCATGAGAACAAACATCTCTCCTGTATAATATGACGACTATTTCTATATAGCTAACTTCTGTTGGTCACATGAAGAATTTTTTCTTAACATTCACGCTGAAATGCCCAATTCAACTGTTGAATTTAAAGTGCATCACCTAGTAAAATAAGAAATTTTCAACTAGATATGCCTATGCATGCATCCGAGAAAAGAACAAATAAGTAGATTTGTTTGAAATCTGTGCTTTCGGGGATGTTTGCGAGGTATAACTAGAAGTGAAGCAAACATTAAGCATCACATAAAGTATAATAGGCGTTTGGCTAGGCATTCTGGCTCCAAAATAAAGGTGTGACTATAGGTCTAGTTTGTGTGAAATATCTATACACAGGGTTGTAAGGTACTTGTAGTACTACACTACAACAGCCCTTACTAAACGGAATTTTCCTAGTTACCCAACAAATCAGTACTCTGCCCAACTTGTAAGTACTAACGAAAAGCCTCAGTTAATTGGTAATGCGTTCGTGCGAGCAGTGTAAAATGAGTAAAATAAAACATCGTAAGGGTAAGAGATTTAAAACTCATCTAACTAGTATGGTCAAATTACAAATTCAGAGAATGTGCGTGTTAGTGACACAAAAAAGAGGTCAGAAGTGGTGTCCAAGCCAATTTGCATGTGTAAAGTTTAAAACAAAAGTTAAGAACGTTTAGAAATGCACTACAGAGTAAAAAAATGAAAACTAGTCAAAGCATTCAGAGGTGCTCAAACATTTATGTACAGATCACCAGTATCCACCATCGATACTCAAACCTCTTGAGGTCACCAACCTCAAAACAAGGTCTAAAAGTTATCCACTTAAAAGTGTCTATACGTTTGGTCTTACTAGAAAAATAAATCCATGGAAAACGTCTTACAGAAGTGTACTACATAAAAAAAATAAACAGTGTTACAAATAAAGTGTAATAATGTCTGCGTTATTCTGAACTCTTTTAGATCAAACCAGTACGCATTACTCCTTAACTTTTAAAATATTCTAACCGTTTACATTATTCAAACCAAATAATTTTAAAAAAAGTAACACAGCTACTCCTAAGTTTAAATACTTTTGTGGGATATTTATCGATTTCTTTAGAGCGTAGACTAATCTTTCCAAAATTGAAAAGTTTTTTTTATAAACGCTTAGGAATATGCACACTAGGTCATTGGAATTACTAAAGAAATGTCTGACAGCAACGAATTCGAACCCGCCTTATACACAAAGCTGAAGCTATGGGAATTAATTTGAGAGAACAATCCTAGTCTTTGTATACGAAAGAAGTTTGTTCTATCTTTGTCTCTCCCTTGCTTAGCCTAGGTTTAGTCTAATTAAAACCCCTCACCCTTTCTTATTCTCCATTTCCTTCGCACTTCTCTAATATTTATTTAAACTGTGATTATCTGTCCACTTCACCTTTAGTATTATGTAACTTTTAAGTTTTGACCTAATTTATCTATTTACTGAAATGTCTGCATATACATACATATGACTACCTTTGTAATTGTTATCGCCACCTGCATAAACCTTATTATCAATATTTTGTTATCATTATAGACATCATTATTAACTACGTTCAAAATATCTACCACATTAATATTATTTAATCATAGGAATTATTAAAAAGATGGCTGGAAGGAAGAAAATTTTGTTTTCGACGGAGTCATCAACTAGATAGTTGTACATTTGTGTATTTATGATAAATGGGTGGAAAAGTTCCAGAATAATTTCTGGTTAAATGTCAAATTAATAAAATTACAATAAGGAATTAAAGTGCCATAATAAACAGGGAGACGGATAAAACTCAAAACAAAGTAGCATCATAATTACTGAGAAGACTGACATATTGCGCAATTGGAGGTTAGAAATATAGAAATAACAAAAATAGACGGGACGTTTGGAAAGAAAATCTAGTGGGATCATAACTGATGTGACGAATAATTGTTTATGCAGTCAGGGATTAAATATGGGAAAATAGACATGAAGTTCGGATATGAAAATACCGTAGTTTAAATAGGGATTAAGACAACTTAAAAATAACATGAATAGACAGGAAGTTTGGATAAGAAAGGCAATGGTATAGTCACTATTAAAAGAATTACCAGTTTATGGTGGCAATGTCAGGGAAAGGTTTGGATGTATTTCTTTTGGATACACAACAAGGGTTTGAGCCTTCAGATAGCTAGTGCCTCGGCTATGCCCAGATGTCTTAATTTTACTCCCTTTGATAGGTTTGATCGATTCTTGTATATTATTTTTTAAATAATTACTATTATTTGATCCACAAAATCGCTGTCATTGATTAAAATTTTCTTTTCGACGAAATCATCAACTAGGCGGTGTATTTATAGTATTTATGGTAAATGGGTGAGAAAGTTCCAGGACTGTTTCTTGTCAAGGGGTTAAATTAATCAAATTATAAGGCATAATTAACCGGAAGGTCGGATAAAAAGCGTAATGGGATGATAATTACTAAAGGATTTGGCTATTTGTACAACTAGTGGTTAAAAAATTAGTAATGAAACGGGCATGAAACATGCAGTTTAATAACATAGGAAGTTGTGTTCCTTCAAGCATCAAGAGAAGCCCTCATACACTCTCTCACTCCTTGGGGATCCAGAAAATATGCAACTGAGGAATCAGTTGATGAAGAACTGCGAGATCTTTGAGGGAACTTGATAAAAAATGGTTTCCGACCCAGGTGCATAGACAAAAATATAAAAATGAAGAATAAGTTTGAAAAGGTCTAAATCCTTCCTCCCCCAAAAGATGCTAATGCTCAGTCCCTGATGTAAAAGTGACATTGAAGCAAAACATCTTCGTAGACGGCTTTCGAAACTTCTCAGTAAAACATACTTTACTGCCAGCCTAAGACTAATATTTTATTCCAGAAAACTATTCCGCTAGCACATGAAAGAGAAACTGTCGCACTGGGGGCTACATTATCATTCACATAGAATTTTCCTTGGTAACAGAACATCTAGTGAGCCCAGGACATTCATCTCCATTTGAAAAGTCCTTCAGAGTCATACACAAGATTCGATCAAACCTCTCATGGGGAGTGAAATCAAGACATCCAGAGATACCTGAGGCACAAGCGATCGAAAAACTTAAGCCACTGCATTGTATTCAAAGGAAATGCATCTAACCTTTGACTTTAACATCTGTCTATCTGCATGCTTTCTATCTGAACTCATTATCTATTTTATTATTACTGTACTTTTAGTCCCTAACTGCATACAAAAGTCAAGTTTCTCGATAACTATGATCTTGTTATGTTTTCTTATCCAGTCTCCCTGTTTATTACATTTTGTAATTTGATTAATTTAACCCTTGACAAGAAGTAGTCCTGGAACTTTCTCACCCATTTACCGTAAATACACGGATATAAAGCCTAGCTGCTAGCTTCGTCGAAGAGAAATCTTCAGAACAGGAGGAAGCACAGGTAACTTGAAAACGAGTAAGATATGATAGTTTGTCATGCTGTTCATGAGAAGAGTTATTGAGTTACGGGTTAATGGACTGAACGCATCAGGATTTCAAACTCCACATACGCCATATAAGAATTTGGTTTCAGCTTGTTGAGGTGCTAAACTAAGCTAGGACAAAAAACTGGATTGCTGCTAGATTCTAAATGATTCCAGATATATTTCCCCTTTAAAAATAGAATTACTCCAAATTTGAGTAATTTTCTGTAAAAGTAGAACAAAACCATTTGGGGTGGAATAGAAATTGCTTTGCGAAGCGTTAATTTTTCCCTAGTAACTGATTGTAGGATGAAGTCGCCTAAATTTCTAGTGAGACATCGTGACTAGTGGTGTTTACTAAATCGGGTGATAGTGCGATAATTCGTGAACCAGCAGAATTTGGAATTCATGAGGTGGAAGTTAGACTCCATTCCAATGACTAAATGACCGACGAGATCCCATTGTAACCTAAAATTCTTGGGTCCGATCCCTGACAGGGTCATGATTGTGTAATACTTAAGAGTCTCGGACAAGAATGGAACAGATGTCCAATGGATCTGTAACTAGAGTCACTTCGTGATCAAGCATGAACTGAAAGACTCGCTACACTACTATCCCTAAGATTTCATTTTAGTCTTTAACGAGTCATCCTGCTGTAGTTCATAGGACCAAATACATAAAGTTCCAAGTTAACTTCAGATATGGATAAATATTAATTCCCAAAAATTAATTTGCAGGGATTTGGTATCGAATCGAGAGCCATTGAAAGCCAGTATGGAGTATTAGATAGCTGTTTCGTCCTAGTTTGGGGCTCGTCGGCGCTAAGCACTCACTGGGTGACTAGCTGCAGGATGAAGTTGCCTAGAGTTTTAGTCAGAAGTTGTGACCAGTGGGGTCCACCAGGTCGGGGATTAACGACAAACACTCGCTGATGACATTGACTGGTAGTTGCGCTTAAATCAGGAATTGGTAGAAGTTAGAGTTCATGGACTGGTCATTGACTCGGGTCCAGTTAGCTGGATGGTTTATGAACTTGACTTGTAACCGGAAGGTCCTCAATTCCGACTCCTTGTAGTGTTTGCATACTGCCTATGAGTCCCGAACTAGGACGATGCAGCTTTCTAGCACTACATGATAGCTTTCAATGGTTCTCTATGATCCCAATCTATGATAAAACTTGAAATGGTAATTCATCGATTTAAAATACATTACTTTTAAATATTTAAGTAGTACTTTTTATTATCATAAATTTGTTTTAAGACAAATTAAGGAATTAGAGGAAAACATCTTTAAGAACAAATAAGAGCCTTATAATAATAATAATAATAATAATTATAATTACATTTCTGTCTAGCTGATCATATTTCCGGGGAAATCCAAGCACAGAATCATGTCTGAACGCGGGTTACTTCACTACTCAATATCACCAATGGATTCATCATTATTGTGTGAAACTTCAACTGCGGATCCAAATTCAACCTATGATGACCTACCGATGCCGTATAGAATGTTAGACAAGATGTTACAAGAAATATTTGACGATATATGGGCTACAATCGAGTCAAGGGAACACCATAAGAATAAAGCATTCAGTTTGAAACAGTCGAAACGACAAGAATTAGACGAAAGTTTAGTAAGTTTTCAGCATTTGTCTTGGATGCTTTCTAAATTAAAACTATTCATTTGTAGAATAGCATAGAAGGTGTTCATTTATATTCTGTTGTTGGAGAGTATTTGTTTAAAATTTATGAAAATCAAATTAGTGTTTACAATGTTGACAGTTTGCAGTTCATATCAGAATGGATGTATACAAATGAATTTAGCGGTTACAGTTCAATTCGTACATTTAAAACAATTGAATTAAGCAAGAATATTATATTTCAGGTATTGATTGATGATTCAGGTAAGAGAGAATTTTATTGATTTTTGCATTTAAACATGTGGATAGTTTTGAGGTAGTTGTTTTTCTCTGAACCGAATAATAGTTCAGTTGCGAAGCTTTCCATTGCTCTCTTTCTAGACTAAATCTTAGGCGGATACCTCAGTTTGAAGTAAGATTATAGAATTCTTCATGAGGATGGTTACTGAACAAAGAATACTCTTTTCGATAACCTGCTTTTCATAAGGTTCTACAGTTATGTACACATAATGGTGAATGAATTATTGCTATGAACAACACTAAAGTTGTTTTAATAATATCGAATCAATAATATTGGTAGATTACAGTTCGATAGCATCACTATGACAATAAACTAAATGTCAGAAAAATTAGGAAAGATAATATTACAAATTCATGAATTTATAGTCTCTATCGAAGTTCATAGATAAAACAGAGGTGATGAAGATCCTGGCCAACAGCAACAGCAACAACAACAACAGACAACAATCAGCCAGCATAAATTGGAGGAACCTGAAAGAAACAACCTCCTTCACTACCCACCTACCTGGGAAGCATCGTTTCAACTACAGGCGAACGGAACTGACGAGGATGTCAAAGCCAGAATCGGAAAAGCAAGACAAGCTTTCATTACTCACATCAAGTCTGTGTGGAGGTCAACAGCACTCAGCATCAAAACGAATATAAGATCCGGATTTTCAACTCCAATGTGAAGTCAGTGCTACTATACGGATCAGAGACTTGGCGTGTCATAAAGAGCATCTCAAACAAACTTCAGACCTTCATTAACAGTTGTCTTCGCTCAGTACTCCGCTCAAGATCAGATGGCCGGCCAGAAATGATCAGCAACAAGGATCTCTGGAAATGAGCGAGCCAACCGGGAACCGATTGTGCAGCGAATAGGCAGGAAGAAATGGAGATGGATGGCTGGCCATACGCTGAGGAAACCATCAAGTGACATCACTAGACAAGCCATTGCTCGAGTGGAACCCGAAAGGGAGGCGGCGAGTTGGTCGTCAGTGCAAGGGTGACTTGAAGGAGGTCATACGAGGAGGAGATGAAAGCATGTGGACAGACCTGGAGCAGGGTGAAAAGGTTGTCAGAAAACCGAAGGCAATGGAGGTGCGCAGCTGAAGCCCTATGTTCCTCTAGGAACTAAAGGATACAATAATAATAATAATAATTGAAATTCGACTCGAGCAGTAGTAGTGGCTGCACTTGCTTCTTTTGTACACGAACCACTGGTTAGTTCGCGCGGATCGAGATGGCCTCTGCTCTCTGGAGCATGTGGTACCTCGATGTTTTTGGCAATTTATTTAGTACCCGGTAGATGATGATAGAGGAGGATTCCTCAGTGTTGGGTTTAAGGTTGGTTGGGAACAGGTGGTCTAATATCGAACTGTTGATGGTTTTTACTACACCTTTACATAGCCATACCGGGAGATGTTCCTGATCGAGCACGAAAAATCAAGTTCCTAGAGCAACGACCTATATAACTCGCTCCACCTCAAGTGCACTTGAATTGGTAGATACAATTGGAAGCGGCTAGCTAATCTAGGTGCTTCATCTTTCAGTCGAGGAATCATCGTCGGTCTTGTAGAAATTAAGACTTGTAGTTTGTCAGCATTTAAAGTTCTTTGAACTGATTTTCTTAATTTCTTCGTTATTATTTCGCTTGGTATATCTTCCCTGAATTGCAGTCGTATGTATAAAGGCTTCTTGTTTACAGATAGTGAGTAGTCGGTTTCCGCTTTCTATCTCATGTGTTTTTCTTGATAAATTTGGCGGGATAGGTAGATATTTTCAATCAAGGTATCATATACAATGCCTAATTCATCTTCAATTATTTCTTCTGAGCATATATAGCTCTAATTCTGTGGCTGAGGAGGGTCTTTACTAAATTTCTTTTGTACTGGAGAAGAATGAAGCTGTGTAAATGTCATGAGTTTATCAGTCATCTCTTCTGGTAACCTTGATCGTGATTGATTATTTCTGAATATCTTCTCATCTTCTAGCTTACTTGTATTGATGTTGACTATTTGATTAAACTGAAAGTTGACGCTTCATCCAAGTGACCTTCCTTTCACTTAATGATAAATCATATCTATGTCTCTATGTCTGTTGATTACAGATTGATCTGAACATCAGGCTTCCAATAAGACTTTGGAATTTTTAGCATCTCCTATATCTCTACACGGAACAAGCAGGATTTAGGGAAGGCAATTCATGTGCTGATCAAATTGCAACTCTATGCATCGTCATCATAGTGTGGTGAGAGCAGGCCGTGAGAAAATATGAGCAAGGCTGATTCAACAACCAATCACAGCAAAGTTAACGTGGCAAAATATGATTCGCAGATGGAGAACTCTATTTGTCAAGGAATCCCGAAACAACCAATCAGAAGCCTGCGTTTGTCTGCCTAACTTCTGATAAACAACCAATCAGATGACTGCGCTTGTCTACTTGCATAAGCTATAATAATGTATGTGAAATATGTATAAATACGTGTTGATTTTCATAATAAAACGATCTGTTGCCTGGCCCTTGTCTTCTGTTGTTACAATAGAACAAAGCATAGAATGACAGTCAAACCTCACCATACCTCAACTTCATCGACTTTGAAAAGGCGTTTGGAAACTGCTTCAGCACTATGGAGTGCAGTGCCTAGATCTTTATTAAACTCAATCAGTAGCCATATGACAATTCCAAATATCAGGTGATCCACAACAGAAAATTCAGTGAAGTATTTGAAGGGAATACAGGAGTAACACAAGGCTGCCCGTCTACTATCCCCGATTGTTATTATTATTATTATTGTATTACTATTCCTATGGGTTCCTAGTGGAACACAGGGCTACAGCAGTACATCTCCGTCATGTTCTACCATCTTCAGCCATCTAGCTCTCTCATCTCCCCTTCAACTCATGCGATACCCTCCATGTCACCGTCAAAGTGACGACCCATTCGTCGCCTTCCACTGGGATTCCACTCGAGACCTAGCCTGCTGTACGCGTGACGTCATTCGATGGCCTCCTCTACATACGCCCAATCAATCCATCTCCATTTTCGCCTACATATCCACTTGTTGGGCAATCAGCGCTTTTGGTTGGTTTGTCGTCAGCCAGAGAGGAGGACAGGTGTTGATATTACTCTGCAACCTGTTGGAAATCCGTACAAGTTTCTGATCCGTATAGCAGAGGTGACTGAATAAATTCACATTATGCTGAGCACTATGCATAAGATTTGCCAATTGGTCTTAGTTTGATGAAGGCGTATCTCGCCTTTCCGATTCTAGCTGTCTGGCTTTGAAATCTTTTCTTCCCCCCTGTGGTTGAAACCGTACTTTTGGGCCAGATGAGTGAAGTAAGTAACCACCTCTGTTAAATCTCTCCCACTGATGGTGACTGGTGCTGGTTGTTGTTGTTGATTGATTGATTGGTAGATATCTTTATCACCTCCGTCTTCTGTATGTTCCCCTGAAGTCCTGTCTTCGCTGCCTGCTTCTTCAGCCAGTTTTTTGTTGTTTTTTTTTGCCTGCAAGGCTTTGAGTTTTTGTGACACTATACATATATCATTTATGGAAACAAAACACATAGTTCACCAAAGAGTTATTGTTTTCATTTAATGCCTGGATGGAGATTATCCATGAATATATATATCATCCACCCGCGAAATCCAGATCTTGTAAAATCTTCTTATCCGTGGTGACTTCCACATTTTTCATACGATTTCACGTCCATTGTCTAGATAATTATACACTGCTTTTTAGGAGAATTGAACACACTCATTTCAACCTATTAAAAGATCGGAACAGCATGTAGTGTCACCATGGGATGTGACCACACGAGAGTCCTTTTCCCCAATGGACTACGTTTACCTAAATGCTGAGTAGAGGAAAAATCATGAGATAGTTTGTGCTATCTTTTGAATACTTTGAACTTTTTAGTTTTGTTCGTAATTTAGATTTTGGTTGTATGCCCTTTTTTTCGATATTAGGACAGACTACTATGCTGATGTTTGTTGAAGGCCTATTCATACTTGTTAAGCCAATCACTTCATCGTCAATATCATCCTCGGTGGAAAGTCAACCGTATCATGCATTGAATGGTAAAATTTCACCATGTGGACAATTCTACGTATCATTAAATGAAGGTAGGTGGATATATGTATTGTATTATTAGCTAGTAGGTGGTATCTAGCTACTTATATAAACTATTCAGTAGTATATGACGCGATAGATTTATGCTTGCCTTCTTGTTTACCATTTATGACGTTTAAGCACATATAGTAAACACATATTGTAATCTTAGCAATTCTGATTTTCAAAGGTAATTGTGTGATGAAGTGTTGTCTCAAATTATATGAGTTGTATTCAATGTATTAGCAGTTCGCCTAAGTAGCTAGTCAGAGAGAATTCTTGTGGTTTGAAGCGATTTACTTTTCTGAACTCAATAAAACCTGTAATTCCATATTAAAGTGTTTGTTTGTAAGGATTTGATTGTTACAGGATTTCATCATGAATTGACATTGGTTAGAGAACCATTGGAAAACTAGCTGGAAGTACTGGACAACTGTTTCGTCCTAGTTTCGGACTCTTCAGGCGGTACGCACCCATCAGGGTTCGAACCCATAACCTTCTGGCCATTGGATTGGATCACGGTGACTAAATGGTCTACGAGCTCACCTTGTAACCAGAAGGTCTTGGGTTCGAGCCCCAGTAGGTGCGTACCGCCTGAAGAGTCCCAAACTAGGACGAAACAGTTGTCCAGTACTTTCAGCTAGTTTTCCAATGGTTCTCTAACCAACGTCAACTCATGATGAAATCCTGTAATTCCATATTAATTTGTTTTTATAAGACTAGCCGAACATAAAATCCTAGCAAAATCTAGATTAGCTGACCCGAATAAGATTAGAAATCTAGAGAATAGTTCAGCTATAGCACTCACTACCTGCAAGTACACACAACCATACGATAGGACGGAATGGGATTAAATGACAGTGTTAAAATCTAACGTCACGATGTGGAGGGAGAGACTGATAACAGAAGCTTTGTTTATCGAATCAACTGAAGAGAATACGTCTAATAGGAATGATTCAACACACCTGTCCACCCAGGTATCTGGAAAATTCTACTATCCCTTCAACGACAAATAGGAGAGGACAAAGAAAACAATGAAACTTAAGTTTCGAAGTTGTGTGACTATAATTGATGACATGATTATGAACAGCAATAAATTCTGTTCGAAACTTTGTCATCCTGTAAGTAATACTGTTTCACTGCGTGATACATCTAATAAATAGACTAATGTGGAATTACTTACTACCACAGTTTCCAAGTTTTACACGTATATCAGTATAACCTGATAAATCGCTGATGAGCTTGATCTCGAAATGCGTGAAACAATCGTCTGGTGGTTAAATCACTACAGTTCGACTGACTGATATGGTTGATATCTGACTACTCATGTCAGTAGTATGTGGCGTCGTGCATATATGATCGTTTTCTTGATTGCTCTTCATAGTATCAAGCAGATCACAAAAGGCGGTGTCTGTCTGTCTGTCTGGATTCAACATAGAACTTGGCACCGGAGTGCAGCAGTTCGAGTTGCCACGTTCCAAATAGCCCACAGAGGTAGACAAGAAGATGAGTGAAGAGAATTAATAGAGTTTGACAAGTATAAGTGTGAAACAGAATGGGTAATGGTAGAAAGGAATATGAAAGATTACAGAGACTGAATACATCTGCGCCATTGACAACGATTTTGAGCCATGTCACCTATTGTCTCCAGCCATTGATTCCTAGAGTCCCGAGGGCCCCAACCCGGGAGTCTGCATCTCCCTACCTGACTCAGTTTAACTGTCAAGGATTTCATGGATTGATGCCATGTTTTTGTTTGGCCACCACTGGCTCTTTTCCAACCTGAACCTATATCAGCTAGCAAAGCCCGTCGGGGGAGGCGGTGGTTAGGCATGCGCAGCACGTGACCTAGCCATCTTAGTCTATGTAACTTTATAGCCTCGTCGATTGATTTTCCCTCTTTGCCCAACACTCTACGCCTAACGTCAACATTACTTACCTTATTATACCACCTAACGTGAGACAGAGATCGCAGACATCTATGATCGAAAGCAGTCAACCTTTTCATGTCTTCAACGCGTATTGGCCATGTTTCAGAGCCATAGAGAAGGACGGAGCGAACTGATGAGCAGTACACACGTCCCTTGGTTGATAACCGGATGTCACGCCTACGCCAGAGATGGTGTAAGTCAGCGAAAGCAGCTCGAGCTTTTCGGATCCGTGCTGAGATTTCATCGACAATCAGTCCGTTGGTGCTAATACAACTTCCCAAGTAGGTGAAGTGGTCAACATGTTCTATCACTTCACTCCCTATCACTAAGTTAGGGGTTGACGTGGTCCAGTCCTGTAGCAGCATCTTACATTTTGCAGGGGCGAATCGCATGCCAAACATACGAAGATTGCTGCTCAAGGTGTTCAGAAGACTCTGCATTTTGTCAGCATCCTCCCCTAACAGGACTATGTCATCTGCATATTCTAAGTCCATAAGATTATTCCCTGGTAACAAGTCGATTCCTAAGTCATTACGTTCAGTTAAGGATACTTCCATTAGCATATCTATGATGAAGTTAAACAGAAATGGGGAAAGTGGACATCCCTGTCGGACACCACTGGTTGTTACCAATTCAGATGACAATTCCCCATAAGCCCTTACACGACTACGTGAGTTTGAATAGAGTGCCTTGATTAGTGCAACGTACTTTCTTGGCACTCCCTTCACAGTCAGACATTGCCATAGTACCTTTCGATCCACTGAGTCGAAGGCCGCCTTCAAGTCAAGAAATATGGCAATTGTTGGACGCCGAAAAGTGTGTCTATGTTCTAGAATCTGTCGAAGAGTGAAGATATGATCTATGCACCCTCTACCTGGTCTAAAGCCTGCTTGATTTTCCCTTGTCTGTTCCTCCCGAGTTCTGCTTAGTCTATGCATGATTACTGAGCCTAGGATTTTAGAGACTATGTTCGTTAGGCTGATCCCCCTATGATTATCACACGAGGACTTGTTTCCCTTCTTGAATATCGGTATAATAAGTGACTTACCCCAGTCTGATGGGACTGTCTCTGATTCCCACACTTTGCCTAGTACCTCAGTTAATCTACAAACTAGTATGTCACCCCCATATTTAAACACCTCCGGAATAATTCCGTCGGGTCCTGCCGCTTTGCCTCGTTTCAAATTACTGATAGCTTTTGTAACCTCACCTACAGACGGCGGACCAGTGTCTATATCCCATTCGGGTACGTGGTGGATGGCGGGGAGGTTCAGTGTGGCTGTAGGCAAGTTAAATTGTTCCTCAAAGTGTTCTTTCCAGCGTTCAAGGCGTCTATCCTGAGAGCTAATTAAGGAGCCATTTTTCTCAGAAATAGTCTCACTTATGAATTGCCTTCTCCCGCCCGATTCTGTGATGAGTCTAAAGAGTTGCCTAGTGTTGCCTATCGCCAATGCTTTTTCCATCTCTTTCGCCTTTGTCACCCACCACTGTTCACGGTCCTTGCGGAGACTTTTAGTAAGTTTCCTTTTGTGCAGCTTTCGCTCCTCATTGAATTCGGAGCTCGCCGGAATAAGTCTTCTAGCATCTATCAGTTCGGATGAGGCAGTCGAAATCCAGTGGTTTTTACTCACCTTTGGATTTATCTTATTCACAGCTTTTACAGCTGTATCTATAGCTGACTGAATATTCTTCCAGGCTTCTCCAGGGTGAGCACAGCTGTCGAATTCAGATATGCGTTTAGCTAGTTCTTCCTCAAATAGGGATTTAGTTTCCTGATCGAGCTGGGGACGTGATGGTTTTACCGCCAGCTGTTTCCTACGTCCGTTCAGTCGTAAGCACACACGAGCCCGGACCAGTGCGTGATCGGTATCTACACACGTGTTCCAGAAGGAGCGACAATCTCCTACCGACCCACGCCAACGATAGCTTATTGCTATGTGGTCTATTTGTGTCCAGCGTTGGTTTGATGATGGGGGTCGCCAGGTTAAACAGTGTCTCTCCTTGTGTTTAAAGTTAGTGCTTACAAGAAACAAATGATTATCTGAACAGAACTGTAGGAGACGGTCACCGTTGTCGGTTCGCTGGCACGGAACTCCATAGGTGCCACCGACATCCTTCTCAGATTGACACAATTTCCCTACTTGAGCGTTAAGTCACCAGCTAGAACGACTATATCTGAGCGTTTAGGCGGTGTAAATAAATTTGTTTTCCAAAAGGAACGTTGGTGAAATTCCATCTGGATTTGTTGAAATTTCTAATTAATTCTCAAACTACGAATTCGATGAATGAAATTAAAATTCAGTTGATAGTAGATGGTTATAGGAAATCCTCAGAAAGCCATGCCTGACTTAGTTTTCGCGCTGTTTTGGCACTCGTCAGCAATCTTGAAAGAACTCATGTCCCTTCTGAGATTCGAACCCACGTCATCCAATACTGCAGTCAAAAACGTTACCACTGAGCAACTATTCGGGCTCATTTGAACGGAACAGATTTTTATTTTGATGTAGGTGTGTTCTCTGAGACACTGGATGGTTTAAAGTTTCAATGCTTTCATTGCCCCCTCCCACTAGGCAACATCTTCAACGGATACTTCAATTTGACAAAGTGAACTTTTAGATTTCTCCACGAGTTCATTATTAGTCATCTCTCCTGGTGGTGACCCTGAATGTGATTGGTTGTTTTTGTGTGTTTTCACACCCTCTAGACTACTTGTGTTGGTGGTGTTGATTGTTTCTTTGACTTGAAGTGTGACCCTTTGTGTATGAGATTTCCTTCTTATCGATTGGTAAATTTTGTCTATCTCTATGTGTGTATTGATTGATGATTCACTGGAATACCAGACAGGCTTCTAAAAATTCTGTAGCATTCTTGTTTGTTTCCTCTGTCTAATATCTGAACGTTGTCCCAGTTGAATTTATGTTCGCCGTTGTCTGTATGTAGTGAGTGATATGAGGGAGTGGATGTCATTTGTTTTGACGGCTAGCTTATATTTATGGATACGAAAACGAAGAGTAGGGGCGTCCACTTTGGCCAACGTAGTGTTTTTTGCAGTCGTTGCAATTTACTTTGTAGATGATGTTGGTTTTATTTTCTTTCGTTTTTGAGTCTTTTGGTTGACACAGAAGTGAGTGAAGTGATTTTGTTGGTTAATCTGAGACGTCAATTCCTAAAAGTTTGAAGAGTCTTGTAGTGATTTCTGAGATGTCCTTTATTTATGGAGGGCGATTTTCTTTGTGCTTTTCTTGGTATTCCAGTGAGTCGTCAATCAATAGACACATTGACAAAGACAACATTTACTAACCGATAAGAAGGAAATCTCATACACAAAGGGTCACACTTCAAGTCAAAGAAACAATCAATACCACCAACACAAGTAGTCTAGAGGGTGTGAAAACACACAAAAACAACCAATCACATTCAGGGTCACCACCAGGAGAGATGACTAATAATGAACTCGTGGAGAAATCTAAGAGTTCACTTTGTCAAACTGAAGTATCCGTTGAAGATGTTGCCTAATGGGAGGGGGCAATGAAAGCTTTGAAACTTTAAACCATTCAGTGGCTCAGATAACACAACCACATCAAAATCATCCACCTGAGCTGATGATACAGGACTCTCGCCGACCATGCACATGGTCCGGGGTTCGAGCCCACGCTGACGCACACCTTGATATCTATGGTCGGCCTGCGAAATTTGGGCTACCGATATCCATGCTGAAAATTCCATACTTGTACCAAAAATACGGTGTGGAATCAAGCTGTAATCAAAAATAAAAAAATAAATAAGTAGATGAAGCAAGACTTGAACTTAGGATCCACTGACTGACAGTTGTAGGCTTATCTGTCGAAAACCATATCATCTAGAGAAACACTGAAAACGGAAAGGAACCGGATGTGTCTTCTGGTGGGTGATTCCACTCAATAGTCTTCTTTGTTAAGAACTTTATGACAGTGCCTAAGTGCCTTGTCTTCAAACTAACTCAGTCAATCTAGTGGTCTATAACTCGTATTTTCTAGTTGTTCAAGATAATGTTGGTAACAATTATCCAATAAAATTAGGGAGTAATGCTTTTTACATTTGACTAGGTAGATGTCTTCAGATACAACTTTTCATAGGTACTGAGCAAGGTCAATCTCTAGGTTATGAGTAAGTATTTCGGCGCTTCAACGCTTCTTCAGGTGCTTGTTATTTTATGGCATAATCCATTGGGAAATCAGTCGAATCTATGCAGACACAACATTCTTGATTGTTCGATATGCTTTTCACTCTACGAGATTCACATAGTGAAATATTAAATTTTTGGTAAATGACATTATTGTTATTATTATCGCTAACATTTTTCCTTTGGGTTCCAGTTGGAGCATACGATTTCACCCGCATATCTCTGCCTCATCCTATTCTCTGCAATCCCCTTTAACTGGCTGCACGACTGACCGTAAGCTTTCATCTCTTACTTAAACCATCTTCCTCATGTCACACTAAGACTCACACCCAGCTCGTCATTTTCGACAGAGGTTCCACTTGAGTGTGTGGCAAGTGAAACCACCCAACGGTCTCTTCAGTACATGTTCAATTTTATCTCCATTTACTTTTGTATATTTATTTGGTTCATAGTTAGCTGGTTACCTGAGAGGGTTCCTTGTTGCTTATCCTTTTCGGATGATTACCTGACCTTCGGTAGGGTGGAAAGACAGGTGTTGATCTGTCTGTCTGTCTGGATTCAACATAGAACTTGGCACCGAAGTGCAGCAGTTCGAGTTGCCCCGTTCCAAATACCACACACACACAAAGGTAGACAAGAAGATGAGTGAAGAGAATCAATACAGTTTGACAGGTATAAGAACGAAACAGATTGGGTAATGGTAGAAAAAAATATGAAAGATTACAGAGACTGAATACATCTGCGCTGGCCATCGACAACGATTTTGAACCATGCCACCTATTGTCTCCAGACACTGATAAATGTCTGCATCGACTTTAGTTCACTTTATGTGACCATCCACCTTAACTGTACAACTAGTGGGGGTGGGGCAGCAAGTTGTTAGTATGGTTACTGATTGTTTTATAGTTTTTGGTGATCATACATTCAGTGTATAATTTTGAGGTTCCAGCTATTACAACTCTGAAGATTCATATAGAGTGGTGAAGAAATTCTCTAATACTCCTTAGATTTCAGTATTCTTTCATTTGGTTAAAATCTACTGTATTATTATTATTCCCTTAGGTTCCGAGTGGAACATGCCGTCCTCTTCACGTGGCTAGCTCCACGACTGACCATAATCTATCATCTTCTCTTCCAACTCGCCACACGATCTCCTCCATGTCACCCTCCCACCGACGACCCACTCGTCACTTCCAATTCGGATTCTACTTGACTGATGGCGTGCATTGAGCGCGCGATGTCATCCGACGGCCTCCTCAACCTATGCCCGATCAATCCGTCTCCATTTTCTGCTATATATATACAGCTCTTGGGTGTTGGTTTGTTTGCAGTCAGAGTTTCTTGTTGCCGGCCATTTGATTTTCAATATGGAGCCAGCGAGGAGGGCAGCTGTTGATGTTATTCTGCAACAGGTTGTTGGAAATCTTTTTTTGTGGCACTCAGTGCAAGTGTTTCTATTTCGTGTGGAAGAACCGACTGACTGACTGACTGACATTTAATAATAATAATATTAACAGCTTTATTCCAAACAGTATTTGTGGTACAGTTATGGAATTTTCAGCGTGCATTACAGTATATTGCATCTAATTACCTCATAAATTATATAAGATTTTTAAAAATCAAAGATAAATAAATAAAAATAAAATAAATAAGTTATAAATAAATAAAATAAATAAATATTAAAATTAAAAAAAACAGCGTAGAGTATTTCATTTCAAACAATGCACCACAGGATTTGAAATATAAGTTGATGTTTGGTAGTAGATGAGAACAACAGTGTAGTAGTAACGAGGAAAGGAAAACAAAAACTAATGGGACTATTTGTTAGAGTGCCGCAGTAAGTTTATCTTGTCATACCTAACAGATTTCTCATCATATAACAGCTGTGCCAGATATGGTATTGTGGAGTTTTTGTATTTGGTAGTCCTAGCATATAGCCTCCTATAGCTGCTTCTAGTTCTTCCAGATGAAATGCAAGGAGATAGATGCGTATAGAGAGGATGCTTGGGGTCTGACAATATTGTATTCGCTAGTTTCTTACATGACATAATATGTCTATCTACAATAGTGTTCACCAGTTGGTTTAACGATATCCCACTTGCCCCACTAACAGCTTTTAGTGCCCTTCTCAGCGAAGCAAAGTCTTTCTTAAGTAGTCCAGGAAAGACTAATGGGGAGCGGTAAAGGAGGATGGGTAGAATACAAGAATTTACAAACTGAGAAAGTAAAGACTGCTTTATGCCAGACTGCCTAAATTTCCTAATGTAGAACGTTAAGCGAAACATCTTTCTAGTAACTAACAAGATGTGGGAGGAGCAGGAAAGATCGGTGGAAAAGCTCAGCCCAAGGTACTTGACTAAGATGTATTTTCAACCTCTGTGCCGTCAATGAGAGTGGGGCCATGTGAGCTAACTAGTTGCTGTAAGTCACATTTACGTCTGAAAGTGACATTTGTGCTGAACGGAATATGAATCTTGTTGTTTATACGAACTGAAGGATGGTAGAAGAATTCCAAACTGGTTCCAAGTTGATGAAGGCATATCTCTCTCCTTTTTGATTCTGTTTGGCTGGCTTTAACACCTTAAATCCGTGCTGTCCGACTGCCTTGCTTTCTGGTCAGGTAAGTGAAGTAAGTGTAACCTCTATCAAATATCTTCCGCTGATGGTGACTAGTTCCAGTTGTTGTTGTTGCTGTTGGTTTGTTGGTTGGTTGGTTAACCTTCATCACCTCCGTCTTTTCAATGTTCACCTGGAGTCATTTCTTATCTTCTTCTTCTTCAGCGAAATATACTCTTAACAGTATCTAAAACATTCTCATTGTTAATTCAAGACTTCAATGTTTCATTAAAAGTTCAATAGATGAAAAATTTCTCTAATGTCCTATTATTTTAACCTTTTCAGATTCTGTTAATTCTAAAGTTTGGTTAGAAGTCTATCGATTACCAGTTGATATTTGGATGAAAGAAGTTTCACCTATCATTCAAGAATTTCAGAATGCAAGAACATCTACTCTTGATGATGAAGTCGGTTCGATAAAGGTGAGCAATGTCTTCTTTTACTATCTACCTAACTACCAGTTATTACAGTGTTCATGTGGGGGGGGGGAGGGGAGGTCAGTGATAGAATGAACACGAGCCAGGTTCGATTTACGGCCCATACATGACTAAATACCGCCTAGTTCGGTTACAGGATTTCATCAAGAGCTGACATTGGTTAGAGAACCATTGGAAAACCTGCAGGGAGTACTGGACAGCTGTTCTGTTAGCCTAGTTTTGGGACTCTTCATCAGTACGCACCCACCGGGATGCAAGGCGAGCTCGCCTTGAAACCAGAGGGTCCTGGGTTCGAACCTTAGTAGGTGAGTATTGTGAAGAGTCCCAAACTAGGAAGGGGAACAACTGTTCAGTACTCCCTGCAGGTTTTCTAATGGTTCTCTAACCGATGTCAGCTCATGATGAAATCCTGTAACCAATCAATCAAATCCCTACTAACCATTACTTGAATATCACCTAGTTTGTCAACCAATAGGAAGGCTGTAAGGAGAGAGGCGATTCACTGTGAAGTTAGTAATCGTACCCTTTAGAAATAACACTGCTGCTACTGAAACTCCAGTGGGTGAAGTCCTAATTCCACTGAGAACACATGGAACGGAAGAAAAATCAGTCACTGTACTGCCTAAAGACTAAAGTACAGAGTATGTTGCGGTTACTGTGTATTCCGGAGAAATCAGCAACGGATAACTGTGGATGGAAATAAAACACGTAGTTCAGCGAAGAGTCTCTTTTCGGCACACCTGATATCTATGGTCGGCCTGCGAAATTTGGGCTACCGATATCCACGCTGAAAATTCCATACTTGTACCAAAAATACTGTGTGGAATCAAGCTGTAATCAAAAAAGAAAAAAGAAAAGAAAAGAATTCATTTTCTTAGCCGTACAATCGCAAATGTATACATATGAGTTATTTTGTATGCATGTGTACATTAAGTTTGTCAAACAAAATTACAATTGGTTAAGGTTATTTTAACTAAACAGGTGAAGATTGGTAATACAAGTCAAGAAAATCAGGTTTTAATGAAATTAGGGTAGTAACAAAGGTGATGAGTTGTCACAAACAGTTGTTAAAAGAAGTTATGCAATAATAGTATGGATAGTTTGATGAGTGAGTTTTACTCAGGTTGCACATAGGAACAAAGTAGAGAATACAAAATTACGTAAGAGTTCTAAATGAATACAAGAATTATAAGCAATCAAAGAAACAGGCAAGGAGACAAACGAAATTACGTCATCACAAATCAAAGTATTGTTACCATGAGAGTAGAAGTGGTTGAGTAATTCTCTTTTGTATGCACAGTTCCCGTTTTTCTATGTGAATGGCCAGAGCTTCAGCGATACAAAGAAGACGAAACCGTGTTGCCTTTGGTAGGTTATTCTTGACTGTGTAGACTAGTTTGAAGCATGAGGCGTTTGTTGAGGTGGAATGATCAGTGTTAACCAGGTGTTCAATTATTGTACCACTATTGCCTCTTTGCAACCATGCTGGCTGGATAGAGTTCTTGAATCCTCTTGGACAGGGTAAGACCCAGAGAGTCAGAGTTAAAAGCGTATTATGATCATGACATGTAGTGAAAAGTGGAGTATATGAAGATAGAATTCTAATCCCTTCTCTTATCTTCCCTTCATTTATAAAAGTGAAGTGTTACTGATAGATAAACCATACTGTGTAATATTCAAGGTTGACGTTAATTTCTGGAAGGCTTTATGCACTGATAACAAGTGACTTTCTTTGTAGAAGAACTAAAGCTTTACCCGCAGCTCCAACTTTGTGTCTCCTCAGGTGAAACAAGAAGTCTTTTTAGAAGAATTTACGCACGTACGTCTAAGTATAAAAATTCCACTATACCATATTTAGCACGTACTTTATGTGGTGAAAATGGTGTCAGGCATGAACTAACTAACCTTCTTCGCACTACTAAATAAACCGTTTCTTCCACACTTACAGTACCAAACTTGATTGTTATTGTATTTCTTATATCTATAATCCTCTCAATTTTTCGTTTTTATTTATTTATTTTTCATAAGTGTGAACATCGTTTAAGCTGTGTTATTATTATTATTGTATCCTTTAGTTCCTAGAGGAACATAGGGCTTCAGCTGCGCACCTCCATTGACTTCGGTTTTCTGACAACTTTTTCAACCTGCTCCAGGTCTGTCCACATGCTTTCATCTCCTCCTCGCATGACCTCCTCCAAGTCACCCTTGACGACGACCAACTCGCCGCCTCCCTTTCGGGTTCCACTCGAGGGCTTGTCTAGTGATGTCACTTGATGGTTTCCTCAGCGTATGGCCAATCCATCTCCATTTCTTTCTGCCTATTTGTTTCACAATCGGTTCCTGATTGGTTCGCTCCCAGAGATCCCTGTTGCTGATCTTTTCTGGCCATCTGATCTTGAGTATTGAGCGGAGACAGTTGTTAATGAAGGTTTGAAGTTTGTTTGAGATGCTCTTTATGACTCGCCAAGTCTCTGATCCGTATAGTAGCACTGACTTCACATTGGAGTTGAAAATCCGGATCTTATTTTTGATGCTGATTGCTGTTGACCTCCACACAGATTTGAGAGTAATGAAAGCTTGTCTTGCTTTTCCGATTCTGGCTTTGATGTCCTCGTCAGTTCCGCCTGTAGTTGAGACGATGCTTCCCAGGTAGGTGAAGGAGGTTGTTTCTTTCAGGTTCTTCCCATTTATGCTTATTGTGGTCTGTTGGTGTTGTTGATGTTGGCTAGGAATCTTCATCATCTCTGTTTTATCTATGTTCACGTGAAGTCCTATCTTTGATGCTTCTTCTGCCAACTTGTTACTTTTCACTTGCATATCTTCCAGTTTATGGGAAATCAGACATATATCATCGGCGAAATCCAGATCCTCCAAGTCTTTTGTGTCAGTCCATTTTATGCCTGTTCCCTCGTTGGTTGCCGTTGTCTGTCGCATTATCCAATCAATTGCAATCAGGAAGATCATTGGTGATAGTAGACAGCCTTGCCTCACTCCCGTCCTCACTTCGAAGGCTTCCGTAAGTTTCCCGTTGTGGATTACTTGGCATGCAGCATTGTCGTATAACTGTTGGATGAGGTGTATAATTGTCGATGGGACCCCGTAGTAGCGAAGTAGTTTCCAAATGACCTCTCGATCGACGCTGTCGAAGGCCTTTTCAAAGTCGATGAAGTTGAGATAGAGAGGTGACTGCCATTCCAAGCTTTGTTCAATGATGATCCGTAGAGTGGCGATTTGATCAATACATGATTTGTTTCTCCTGAATCCAGCCTGTTCCGGACGAAGTTTTTCATCTAGGGCTTGTTTGATTCTCTCCAGGATGATGCGACTTAGTATCTTGCTTGGAATGGACAGAAGCATAATTCCACGCCAGTTTTTACATTGACTTAAGTCTCCTTTCTTTGGAAGTTTGAATAAGTAACTGTTCTTCCAATCCTCGGGTACTTTGCCCTCTTTCCACACCTTCTCCAGTAGTGGTGTCATCAAGTCCGCTGTTGTCTCTGGGTCTATTTTCAAAGCCTCTGCTGGGATTCCATCTGGTCCCGGTGTTTTCCCAGTTTTAAGCATCTTGATTGCATTCAGGACTTCTGATTTCGTCGGGGGGTCAGTGTTCACTGGTAGTTCTGCTTCCGTTGTTGGTATTGCTGGACGTGTTGTAGGTGGCGGACGATTTAGAAGTCTTTTGAAGTGTTCAACCCAGTGCTTTCTCTGTTCCACCTCTTTGGTGATTGACTTTCCATTGTCGTCCTTTATTGGCTTAATCTGTGTCGAACGTTTGCCCGAAAGGTTCCTAGTTGTTTGGTAGAGTGTGGCGAGGTCTCCTTTGCCTGCAGCTTGTTCTGCTTCGTTTGCCATGGTTTCATAATATTTTCTTTTGTCTTCCCTGGCACTTTTCTTCACTCTTTTGTTCAGTGTATTGTAGCTTGCATTCAGCTCCTGTTTTTGTTGCTCGTCCGTGCACTGGATAATCTTTTGCTTCACTGTCCTTCTCTCTTCTATTAGTTTCCAAGTGTCCGTAGTGAGCCACTGTTTGTCCTGTCTCTTTTTTCTGCCTAGAATTTCTATGCAGGTTTGGCTCCACACCGTTTTCAAGTTGTTCCAGTGCTTTTCAACGCCGACCTCTTCGCTAGTGTTGATTTGTGTCTCGGCTTTGTCCTTTATGCTTGCAATGAAGATGTCCTTTGTAGCCTGGTCCTTCAGCTTTTGAGTGTTGAACTTGGCTTGTGGTCTATCTGCAGCTCCTGATTCCCTGAAAGCTTTTAATTTGATTTGGATTGTCCCTTGTACGAGATAGTGGTCTGAGCCAACGTCTGCTCCTCTTCTTGCTTTTGTGTCCAGTAGGCTGCGCCTCCACTTCCTTGAGATTGAGATGAAGTCGATTTGGTTTTTGGTTTGCCCGTCTGGTGACACCCATGTAGCCTTGTGGATATCTTTGTGCTTGTATACACTGCCACCAATCACCAGTTCGTTGAAGGCGCAGAAGTCGGCGAAGAGTTCTCCGTTTTCATTCATTTCTCCTAGAGCTTCTCTACCCATGATGAGTTCCCTTCCCGTATTGTCTGGTCCCAGTTTGGCGTTCATGTCTCCCATTAGTATTTTCATGTCGCCAGCTGGAGTATTGTCCATTGTTGCCTGTAGTTGCCTGTAGAATTCTTCTTTCTTCTCGAGCTGTGTTACCATTGTTAATCTTGTATTTCCCCTCACTATACCATATCAACAGAACATTAGATCCAATAATCTATAATAACATGCTAAAATTTCCAAACTGAATTGACAATATTGTTTGAAACAAACTCACTATTATTATTATATTTAACATTCTCAATTCGTGCTTCGTATATTTTTGACTTTATATCGTAAACGTGGACAAATTCCTCTGGTTAATTCTGTTTTAATTTTATTTATATTTTAAGTAAATCAGATGGAATATTGTGACAAATGCTGAGAATTTCATTCTGTATTATAAGTACTGTTTTTGGAATAAAGTA